GCTATTCCAGGAATCACACGTACCAAAGAGTATTTCCCTAGCAGGTCGTCACTCGTGAATCTATCCCCATTGTGATCCACAAGATCAAAGGGACCTCCGACCTTTGGCTTTCCAACGCCCTTTGTCTGATCCGCTATCCGTTTCCGTGCCATCCGTTCCTTCTCGTACGTGAGGTAGGCCCATAGTCCACCTGCGGTGCAGATGAAGAGGATTGCGGCGGTGAGATTGAAGGGCTGTCATAGAGCGGGTCAGCATGCTGGAGTTGCAAATGAGATTTTGTGGAAGGTGAGCCTACCCCGCCCTTGTTCCGCGCCCGAACTTGCTCTATTGTCTTGAGTGCGCTCCGTGGTGTTGAGTTCGAGAATGGGCGTGATAGGAGCAAAGGCTTGCGCAAGCTGCCTACCAGCCCTTGATCCTGCTGTCCCACGTTCCGTGTCCTCAATAGACATGATAAATCTGATTTCGCTACCAGTCGTGATGTAATGGCGGTGTTGGGTCTGTGGGAGGAGGCGAGGGTCCGTCGTGGGGTGATTCGGAGCGCATCAAGCTCGCGCCGGAGCGCCGGAGAAGGTCTAAGGGTCTTCAGTGCACCCCCAAGGCAATTGCATGATGGAGGCATCTCAATTGCGAGAGAAACGGGGCGTAGATATGTGGATGGCGGAGTGTGGAGGTGTTTGATGTATATTTTACTTTTCTCGAACACGAGATCCACGGATGACAGCTTCAAAGCGCACGGGCCACCATATCCGAATTTAGGTGGGACACTAATCATGAACTTGAAGAAGATACAAGAGAATTCATGGGATTCGTTTAAATTGTAGTAATTGATTTATGGCTAGATTAATTGAACTCGCTATAGCAAAAGGTTTTTGTATTAAAAGAATCTACCCTGTAAAACGCCGGTTCATGCCATGCTCGCTGAAGAACAACGCCCACTTGTATATCCCAGTTTTGACACACGCACTTCCTATCCACCAGCAGCAAACTTACTATTCCCTCTCAAAATGGCGCCAAACTTCCACAACATGAAGGGAGCCGGTACGCCCAGCGCAAGAGCAATGAATCCCAGCAGACTATTTCCCCAACCGTAATCCAAAGCGTTGAACATAGCGGGGGCAAAAAGGGGAAATCCAAATCCTGCCAGACTTCTCAATACGGTTGCTGCCGCAATAGCAGACGCAGCGTAGCGCGTGTACGAGTCCACAATATAAGTCTGAATGCATTGGAACCCCACAATTGTCCCTGCGCAGAAGAACAGAACGCCAAAATTAGGCACGATCCAGTGGGTCTTCACTTGAGCGCTCCATCCATACCAGAACAATCCTATTGGAACAAACAAAGACGCTGGAACCATCATGGGGACACGAAATTCGGGCTTGCCGACTCCATTGTTCTTCGTCTTAAGGCGGCGGTAGATCATGTCGTTTAGTGGCGCACAGATCTGGGTTCCTAGGAAGAAGCCGAGTCCCATAGAAATGAAGTTGAGAGAGCCAATGCCGACCGACTCGCCATATTGTTTTTCCCAGAGAGGAGGGAAGGTCGAGAGCATGAGATACATGAGGCCATATAGATATGCCATGTAGCATGCCAGGACCTGAACGATAGGTTGAGTGAACAACAGCTTGAAGGGCCTCTTCAGCGCCACTTTGAGTATTTTGATTAGCGTCTTATCCGGGCTGTCGTATTCCGTGTGGAGCTCCATGTTCCCAGTCTCTTTGCGCAGCTTGTCTCGTTTCCAGGCGAGAAGTTTCGGGGCGTATGTTTCTTGGAGGAGGTAGAACCCGAAGGCTTGCACCACTGCAGTAAAGATTGAAGTTGACCAAAAGCACCACCTATGATGTCGTCAGATTCCAAATTGACGAATAGTGAATCAATTCACACACCTCCATGTCGTATTTTCAGCGATGAATCCTCCAGCGATAGGGCCGATTGCGGGACCAAGAAGGGGCGCAAGACTGTAGATGGAGATTGCCTTGCCACGTTGCTCGGCATGGAAGCAGTCACTGAGGAGGCCCTGAAAGCCGTTAGATATAGCAAACAATAAAAATATAACACGAAACTTACACCACCAATGGCCAATGGTGCCGATCCACCCAGTCCACTCATAAATCTGAAAGCCATGAGCTGCCCAGAGCTCTGCGCGAATCCACATCCAAGATTCCAGGCCAGATAAAACAGGTTTGCGCATTGGAGGACAACAACGCGACCATAAATCTCACTGAGGGGCCCAAGAAACAAAGGGCCGACAGCGTAGGCTAGAACAAAGATGGACAGCGTAAGTTGAGCTTCGACGGTGCTTGTGATATGAAATTCCTTGCTGATGGACGAGAGCGCCGGGGAGATCATGGATGATGAGACTGGCGAGACGAGCGTGAAGGCGGAGACGATACATGTTGCTGCCCATTTCCGTTTCATGGACCAGTTTTTTGGGTTTGTAGGATCGTCTGGGGAATCCCATGTTACCTTTACCAAGTTAGAACTCGGTCATTTCAAGGGTCTGATAGTTTTACTCACTAGGTTTGGATCATGGACAGAGCGTGAAGATTCCTTCTTCTGTAGTGGTGGCGACTGTGCTTCAATATCACGCTCATCCGGAATTCCACCTCTTATCTCCTGTATTGTAGTCCCCTCTCTCGCGTTATCCACTTCTTCGTCCTTTTCTAGATCAATCTCGTCGGAAGTGCTGCTCGTCGACTCCTTTCTCCGTCTATCCGTCTCAGTCTTGCGCAACGATGAGGCCTCTGAGTCTAAATGAACGTCTTGGCCGCCCTCGTGATGGTAGACCGAATGGTCGCCTGCATACTGTGCGGAGGATAACCGATGTGATTGCGGGCTGCTCGGTCGACTTGGTCGAGACCTAGATCGCGTCCTCGTTGAGGTACCCGTACGAGTTTGTCCTATATCTTCCATCAGATGCAGGTGGTAGAACGAACGATGTCGCCAAGGGAAGGTCAACCAAAGTAGGAAAGGTGAATGTGCAAAACAGGTAAAAGGTGATCGAATTGACTTGGCCGTGAAGCTTGACTGTGGATACTAGAAGACAGAAAGCTGGGCACGCGACCCTATATATATAAAATGAACTCTAGGCTCGGAACTTAAGTTCGGAGAATCGGGTTACTTCAGTCTAAGACCCTATCTACAAGGGGTATTGTACACCGTACACATATACTACGCAGGCGGGGCCTCGTGTACTTTTATCGGGCTTAACAGATTTTGGAGAACGAAAACTCCGTCCTTCTCCCAGTGGCCGTGCGTCATCGGTTCGGCTCAAGCGGCACGAAGAGCTCATATGATTCGCCCACTGCGCCACTTTGCTGTGGCGTGAGAACCATCGTTGTCGGTTGAATTGGCGGATGGTCCGAAAAACATGGAGGAAAGAGCACTGAAAGGCCGAACGGGTTGAATGATCAATGACACGGAATGTCGACCACGTATAGGTACGAGATAGCTACGCTAATGATAGCTACCAGCCAACCACAACGGGTCTGCCACCCTTCTCAACGAATCAGAGAATAGCATTATTCATTAGGCAGAGGCATTCCCAACCTCAAATTACCTAGGGAACTCGGTAAGCACATTAAGATCACGTGGGGTGAGATGTCGCCATTCGGCGTTCGGTGCCTTCCATCTTCTTATCGCTGTATGGTCCACAACTCCTCATCACTTTAGCTTCTAGACTAGCAAAGCTGTTGAATTGAAACCCCTAGTATATGAAAGAACTAGTATTTTTTAAGGAATATCCTGCCGGTGATTCTAGTTTGTAGGTGAAACGATTAGGCGGCCCTTTGAAGCATTAGTAAAGTAGTTAGAGGCTACTTTGATGGCCTAGAAGAGATAGCCAGATTTCCTCTGATTAAATACCAGTTCTTTCGTACACCTACAGGCGTCCTCCTGTTTCGGTATATGTTCTCTGGATTTATCACACCGATGTCAGCTCAAACGTCTTCTTCTAGGGTTCTGGACACATACTGTGTTCGACAATAGAAGAACACACAAGTGCCGTAAGCTGCGTCCCTAGTCCTCAAACTTGCTCAAACCTCAAATCTATGCAGAGCTTTTGCAACAATAAAGTTCACCCTTAGAAATAAAATATGCACGAAGTCTTGCATATTAGAACTTGTGTGAGTGCTAATAGTAATTTAGGTTATGTCTTATGGTAATTGGTTTATGTCTTCTGTTGTTTTCAAGAAGTTGTACAGTAGACCGAGCAAAACTTAGGAGCACCAAAATGCTCTACTTGACAGTATTTAGTACAGCGGTTCTATCCTGTGTAGAAGGGTACATGAGCGAATCGGATATGGTCGTAAACCCCCTACGGAAACCAAGGAACCGACTATGCGAGATAGTTACTCCAAATTCGATCTGTGACAGTCGTAACATTATTAATACAGAAAATAGACTCTCTAGTAGTCTATTCTCTATTTTTCGGGCTATGGTAAGTAATATACTTCAAATAATAGTCTAAATCATCGCAAATTTCCGTTAGACTTGATCTAACACCGATTCCGCACGCCAAAAGCGGAAAAATCCAGGAGGTTGACAACGCTACCTCGACCGCCCAGTGCGTCCAACGCGGGTCCAATACGTGTATACAACCTAATCTTCACGCATAATAGATATCACTTAAGCCAGACAGTCTATACCATCATGGTAATCATCCCAGAAATTCAAAATGCCACCTATACTCTGCCTATACATGTCTAGAATGAAGTAGAACATACGGTCAACCCACCAGCGCTATCTCTATCATCTACAGACCATCTATTGGCGAAGCAGCGTGATATTTTTCTGCATTTTTCTAAAGGCCAGCTCGGACGCTAATCACATTGAAATTCGTCACAACCATCCCCAGATTCATCTCACCAAAATCAGGCATAATGTTTACAACTAGTAGGTGAAAGGCCGCGGATGCAAGAATACCTTGCGCATAACTACGCGCACATGTATATATACTAGTTAACGTAAGGAGGTAGTATTCAAAAAAAGCAGATACCCTCAAGTCTCTCTTGGCACAGTGGTAAGTATGTCGGCTTGTCGCGGCGAAGACGCGGGTTCGATTCTCGTAAAGAGATATTTCTCTTTTTGCCAAAATATAGAATCCAAAAAAAATTAGGGGTCTAGTTGGCCACATCCTGGCGCACATCAGAGACACTATCTTGAGGTGGCAGAACTCATTTATTAAGATATCAAGCCCATTTACCTATAATAACTTCTCCGACTAGCTAGATATGCTAAATTCTTAGAGGAAGGAATCGTTCAACTCCTTAGGACTTCACCAAGCTTTTCACATACCAAGAAAAAGACCACCTGTGGAGCACTTCTTAACAATTTATTTAGATGTCCATATACTCGATTGAGGTATTTCCGAGATGCACGGCTGGATATGGTAGACGGGTTGTTCATATTTACCTGGAGTCTCGTCATTAGCGTACCAGTGCGTAGCTCGAGCGCGGGTATTTTAGGCTATAGGAGATGACATTGTGTGCTAGGGTGTCCAAAAACTTTGTTTATTCTTTGCGTATAACTATTAGATCGTTGGATTAGTGAGACGTTAGAAGCCCTAGCTCAAAAGGCTGAGGCTACGGAAAGCAATTGCGAGCTCTTGAACTTGTGAAGGACTTCAACTGGCCGGCGTGGTAGCCTTCTTCTTGTTAGAGAGCCGATCTGCTGCTATGAAGGTGATAAGCTTCAGATGGATTCTTAGTGTCAAGCTCAAGGTCGCCATTTACAAGATTCAGCTTCACCACGTTAGAAGAAGAGTTAAAAGGGCCTACAAAAGCGCACTTCCTCCAGTCTTCCAGTCTGGGCGCCTATTATGTGTGTGTTGAGTTGTTGTGGCCGAGCATTTTCCAAGTATCTTCGATCTGAGGCAGTAGGCTGAACTTGTAGCTGGAGCGTGCATACAACTGCAGGCTACACCCGAGAGATTTGACTCTGTTGGCTGATCCCAGTTGAGCGAGGAGAGTAAGCAGGGACTCCTAGAAAGGCAAGACTCTGGTGGATTCGAGAATTTCTATCGACTCAAGCAGGACTTCTTGAGAGCGAATGGTGTTAATCTTTTAATCGCGAGTCAGAGATTGAGGAAATCGGCAGTCCCAACCTATATTAAGGGAATCAAGTTGGTTCTTGTAACTGGGTGGTTTGAATGCTTCGTCAACGCTAGCATACATGATGCCACAAAGTGGAATCTCATTATGCTTTCTGAGCAAGATGTTGAGATTGTGAATGCACTATGCGTCTAGAGTACTATCAAGAGCATTTCGCTAGGGATGGAATACATGTATGCATCCTCCACGTCTATCGACGCTCTACTGTTGTAGCTGTGTTGCAGAACTCAGTAGCGCTACTCATTTCGAGGGAGAATGTTGAATGAGCAGGTTGAGCCGGGCTTCTGGGAAATGAAGAGAAAGGCGAGAAATGGGGACAAGGAAGTAGTCCTTGTGTCTGGAGCTTTCATGCTCCGTATTTCCATTCTCCATAAAGAGCTGTTTCTCGTTTCGCCAAGTCTTCGAGCATACGGGATTGTTCAATCATGGGTGGAAGGTCCGTTGCGATAGTCAAAAATTTACGGCGACACTACCTCGTCTTGAAGGCTACAGTGACGATATAGTCTAGCGTAATAGGCAATGGACACAGTGAGCACTAAAGACTGAGTGGACGCATCAGTGAGAATTATACAACCACACTGTTCATATCAGGCTTTGTTCCGACCAAGTCTTAGATATATATATCACGTTTTAATTTTGAAGACTTGAGTAGGTACATATTAGGTCACAGACCATGATGATTGGGGTATATATTGCATAGCGAGCTTGAAAAGCAAAACTTATTCAAGTCACTAAGAAAAGGCAGAAGTTCGAGTATATACCTCACATCGTCAACCCAGGAAGGTAGCAGTGAGAATTGGGTGGTGAAATCCCCGTACATATATTGTTCTGGTGTCGTGTTTTCAGTTTTACCTATGTCCATACGTTCCCCGGTGGCTGAGAATCAGGAAGTGCGAACTCAACAGGGAGCCGTCTTTCGAATTGAAAACAAAGCAGTGGGTTTTGCAACATTAATGCATGGCGAGGGAAAATGTTTCATAGCAAAGTACGGACCTCTCCAAACGTATGGTTCATTGCCAGCTACTAAATGCTCGCTCGCAGACTCAGAATCAACCACGATCAACAGGGAAAGTTTGGAAGTAAATCGTACAATAGGCCAGAGAAGGTAATCTGAAACGATGTACCTATGAAATAAGATCAAATACTAAGTGCGGTGTAGGAGGTATTGGACAGACGAGTCCAATCCATGCTTAAGGTACCTTTGGACTTTAATTCTTCTTTCTGTAAATTCAGGGCACTTGGAAGCTAATAGATTTGAGCTTAGAGTAATGAAAGGAGGCATGTATTTTTGAGGGGTGTAATAAGACAACTTCTAGGGAATGTGGTCGGAAGGTCAAAGGGGATTTCATGTAGGGCTTCGACCGTATAAAAAAAGGCCGGTATTTCCATATCCAATATGGAGCTTGAAATGTAGTCCTAGTGTCCGACTAGATTACAGAACGCCAAGGATGCGGAAAAGGCATGGGTCGGAGGTTGGAAAAGGGCGAAAGGTCAAAGAACCGTGCGCACAGAAAGAGGAATAGATGTCGACTTCTCCCCACACACACGATAGAAAAGAGCTAACTATTTTAAGATTCTTGCTGCCAATCCTTTCAATCACAGCCAATAACTTAAGCCTCAATAAGCCCTCCATGCGCGCACAAGTTGTCACTGGGTTTGTAGTTCGAGGTAGGCCACTTTTGGTTTTCCTCAGTGTCTTATGCTTCAACTCTGTCAGGTTTATTTTTCACTGCACTTCCTCTCCCACCTCAATTACTTCCATGCGTTTAGACACAATGGTCTAGACGGGTGCAGCGACTCGTCTACAGCCTCGCACGGAAGGCAAGAAACGAACGGCTTCGTCTACTACCTACGAAGCACAGAGCAATGCTACTTCTAGATTAGGATGCGTGATTTTAACCGGCACGACGAGGCGGTATAGAACTAACTACATTGGATACTTCAATCCTCTTGCAAGAGTTGCGGGGGTAAAAAATTGGAATTGAATATTGCGGGGCCGAGATGCAGAAGTGCTTAGTAGGATGGAAGTTACACCGCGTATTGTCGTATCCCTATAAGACACGGATTATACGACTCCAAGGTGCTACCGTACATACTTAGATACATTTATGTATGTAGGATTGTATGTATGTATGTATGTATGTATGTATGGGCGGAGCTTCCTTCTCCGTGTCCATTCCCCATCCACCTGCACGCCCAGCAGCCTACCCACCACACCCACCTCCCCCCATCCTTCTCCTTCCATCCTTCCATCCCTACTCAAAGACCACCGTGAAATAAACCATCAAGCCCAAGGCCTGGACCCCTCAGCCACCAGCCCAACACTCTCCACGCCCGCCGATCGCCCCCCAAAACCAGCCCTCACCCAATCCATCCAACCGGTTCGGCTCCCTCCAGCCGCACGCCATCCCGGACGCATCTGCATCTCGCGTGGATATATGATACGCAAATACGGCAGCGCACGCACGCATGCACGCATGCAAATCTCGAATTCCCGCATCTGGCTGCGATCCGCGGTTCCAGTCCCAGGGCCCACCATCCATATGGGCGCGTTATTTACAGTGTTTGTGGAGCCGGCTCACGGTGATGCGCGACATGGCTGCGAAATGATCATCCAGCCCAGCATCCTGGTAGCTTGCTTTGGAGATTCTAGGCCCCGGGCGGATCGGGAGCGAGGGGGACGGACAAGGGGGGGGGACGCCACAGGTGCAGCGGGGGAGAGGGGAGCTCCGAGCCACACTTTGGGTGGCTTGGTGGGGTGGTTCCCGAGGGCGCCGCCTTGTTTCTGCGCGGTGCGGCCGGGTGATGTGACGAGTTCTGTCTGTCTATCTTGTCTGCCTTGTTGTACGCTGGGTCTCGTGCTGTGCTGTGTTGTGATGTGTTGTGACGATACGACGCCCAAGGTGGGGTGACCGAGGGTCCGACGACGAGAAGAGGTTTACCTACCCTTCGCACACTTCTCTCCCTCCCTATACTATGCATCTCCCGTCCAAACTGATACCCAAGCCCCCATCTCGAGACCTAAATCGCCACTTCAAATCCCCTCCCCCCCCTTCCTCCTCCTCCTCCTCCTCCTCCTCTACCAACACCACTTTATCCAACCGTCCCACCCGCATCACCACCACCAACACACCCGCAAGCGACCCCCCCCCTCGTTTATTTTTAGATTAACACATGCAACCAACCAACCCAACCAACCAAGCAAGCATTTCCCCATTCGAACCCCCAGCAATTTACCCCATCGGAATCTCAAATCCCCTTATCTCCAGCTTCGGCCGAAGTAATCTGTGGTTCAGCACAAGAAAAGAAAGAGAACCCGACGATGACCTACCCAACTGGGCAATCAGTCAAGCGTGCACGTGATCCGACCTTCTTGTTCTTGTTCTGGTTCTTGTGTAACCACGGAGCTCCACTTCGCGCGAAAGATGAATAAACCCCTAACCCTGGGTGATCGACAACATGTCTCCACTATGTATCTATGTGCGTGTAAGAATACAAGGCGCGACGGCGTTGTAACCTTTCTGCATCCGGCGATGGCTCAATTTGGAGGTTTGTTTTCGGTGGACGCAAGCGGAAGGACTAATTGGGTTGAGCGCCTCTGCGGCACGCCCATTCATTCAGTGGTTCGGGTCTTGGAAACAAAGAAGAGCAACAGTGGCATGTACGGGTTACATAGCTCCTTATGTGTCTTGGGGCTCAGGTCAGGAACAAGAGACATCCATGAGGGTGACTATTTTAATGACTAGGCATTGCACACTACATATCAAAGTTTGCCCTGCAATCGATCGTGATGCAATTCTCATAAGTCTCTCCGTATTTACAAACACTACACTACACTTGCCTATGTAGCCCGCCCGCATCGCAATTCGTGTTTTTATCCTTCACGGAAGAATATGGGGGTATCATGCAATGAACATTAGGAATCGGCGTGGTAAGCACCGTCGCGCGTGAAAGAGATGATGCTA